AATTCTCATTTAATATATTTCCCCAGAGCCAGATCCCTTATTAGGTTAAAATGAAATATTTAAATATGACTGTCAAAGTTCAAACGTCATAATAATTCTGGGCCCTTGACAAATTCCATTGTAACGACATAATTCTGACCTAAGGTAGTAAAATTTCTGATTTACATTAAATTTGGCAACTGGGGAGACCGCTTTCCAAGGGGAAGTTGCTTCCCTCTCCTAACATATGAGATCAACACGTTTAATCATTAAAATGACATTATATACATGCAGATGTAGTTTTACATCTGTTCCACACTATTTAAAGAACTCCAGGCAGGGCCGGATTTACTCTCCCTGCTGCCCCAAGGCCAGGTTCCGCAATGCGCCCCCCTCCCCGACAACCCCACCCCCCATCAACGGAGAATGGCAGGGTTAGTTTTATTTATTTTTATTGTTTCTTTAAACTTTATCACTTTTGTATTTTTATTTATTTATTACTTTTTTACATTTTTAGCTTATCGTTTACTTTTTTAAAAATAATTTTTGAATCTTATTATTGTTTATTTTTTATCATTATTTTCTTTTTTTTTCTTTTTAATCACCTTTTTAATTCACCTTTTTTTCATTTAATTATTATTTCTTATTATGTTTTTAATTTTTTTTTTCATTTAACTTTATTGCTATCACACAGGAGCTAGCTAACAAGCCCCTGTGTGATAGTCTTTGGAGGTGACAGGTTCTCTTTATTGACCCTGTCACCTCCAATACAGGAGTTCTAGCACAGCACTGTGCTGGACCTCCTGTGACAGCTGAGAGGGGAAGACGGCTCTCCCCTCTCACTGTGTACACGGAGCGGCAGGGTTAGTTTTAACCCTGCCACTCTGATCCCCACATCGCTGGTCAGTGAGGAGAGACTGGGCAGCCGGGGGGAGGACGGAACCAGAGGAGAGAGGTAGGTGGGATGGACAGGCTGCACACATTTTACAAGTGATCACGGCGACATCGCCGCAATCACTTGTAAACGAACAAGCGGCTTCCTCACAGTACATTTAGCCCTGCCTTCCCAAAGCAGGACTAAATGTAGAAGGCAACTTACCGCCCAGAACATACAGTCAGGGGATTCTACACTGCTGCCGCCCCTCTGCTCCCTGCCGCCTCAAGGCCTGGGTCTCGGTGGCCTTGTGGGGAATCCGGGCCTGACTCCAGGTAAAACTTTTATGGAAGGATCATTAAACCCTCACGTTTTTTTGCATATATATCGATTGCTAGCAAGCACCGCCACTCCCCCTCCCGCCCCTGAATGCAGGAAGCTGGACGGAATGCGATTCAGTGCGTTTCAGAGCCTGACCGTTCTGGAACGCACTATTTATGGTGTGAACTGGTCGGAACAGAAACAGGTAGGAATCTGTAATAAAGTTTGTTAAAATCCTTGTAATGTACACAGATCACCCAGAGAGGATTTCTTTTTTTCACAACAAAAGTGGAATTACTCTTTAACCACTTGCTGACCAGGTGTTTACACCCCCTTCCTGACCAGGCCATTTTTCAGTATTCAGCGCTGCGGTACTTTGACTGACGTTTATTCCGTCATGCAACGCTGTACTGAAATTAATTTTATACCATTTTTTGGGGACAGATAGAGCTTTCTTTTGGTGGTATTTAATCACCAAAAGGTTTTTATTTTTTACTATACCCCGTTTCCCCGAAAATAAGACCTAGTACTGTTTTTGGGAATTGGTAAAATATAAGACCTACCCCGAAAATAAGACCTAGCTGTGACCATTCCCAGGGCCGGTGGTGGCGTAAGGGGGAACTTGAAGAGCTGCGGGAGAGAATCAGCGCTGCCAACGTAGCCAGCGCTAGAGGAAGCCACCGGAAGGGAGCAAAGCCGCATAAGCCGATGCCTCCTCTATAGTGCTAGTGAAAGTGCGCTTCACTCATTCTGGCGAGCGATTGGTTGAAGTGTGGATTGCTGTACATTAGAAAAAAAATAAGATCTACTCCGAAAATAAGACCTAGTGTGTTTTTTTGAGCCAAATAAAATGTAAGACAGTGTCTTATTTTCGGGGAAACACGGTAGTAAGGAAAAATTACTGAATATTTTGATTTTTTTTCTTTTTTACATTATGTTAGGAAACAATTATTCTTACCCAATTTTTTTGGTAAAATATAAAAGACGGGGTCATGTCAGGTAAATAGACACAGCAAACATGTCAAGCCTTAGAACTGTGCACACCCGCGAAATCGCAAAAAACTACCACACCCAAATTGGCCATAGGCGACGCTTTAAAAGCTTTTACTGTTCATCAGTTTAGTGTTATCAGTGATTGATGGCCCTAGAATTATTGCTCTCACTGCGACGTTCGCGGCGATATGTAACATGTGTGGCGTAATTGGCGTAATCGTCATTTTCGCACGTATGCACACCCGACGCATGTTGGCACGCATGTATGTATGGGCTGGGACTTTTTGTGTGTGTGTTTTTTTTTATTCTTTTTCATGTGACTTTAATTTTTTTTTCTTTTTTACTTAACGTTCTTGCTATCACATAGGGGGCTAAGAAACCCTCTATGTGATAGCAAAGAGATGTGACAGGTCCTCTTTATGGAGACATCAGGGGTCCCCAAGACTCCTAATGTCACCTAAGGACCCCCAGAGAAGCTGATGAAGCAGAGATCTGCTTCATCAGCTTCTCTCCAGCTACTGAAGCGGGAGAGTGACACAAGAATGCGGAGGTGATGTAAATCGGTCCTTAGAACAGAAACAGGTAGGAATCTGTAATAAAGTTTGTTACAATCCCTGTAATGTACACAGATCACCCAGAGAGGATTTCTTTTTTTCACAACAAAAGTGGAATTACTCTTTAAGGAAATGCTTTGCTGGACAATGTATATTTGTTTGAACTGGATTCATTAATTGGAAAAAAAGTTTGTGAGTTTAACCCCTTCATGACTGAGGCCTTTTTTTCATTTTTTGTACCCATGTTATATTACTTGCGATATACTGAGACGCCGCAGTATATCGTGAGCTGCTGCTCGCGGTATACTAAGACGCCGCAGCTGAAGCGGATCCCGACAATTATGTCTGGATCCGCCCACCTGCGTGACTGACAGCTGGCTCTGCCTATCTAGAGACAGAGCCAGCTGTATCCGCGCTGGCGGATCGGAGCGAATCCAGCCCCTCCCCTGTCACTGCAGAGAGCCGTGACAGGATCGAGAGGTGAGCGAACGCCAGTATGTGTTCGCTCACTTCCCGATCTACTGAGCCGACCTGTGACAGTCTCATTGTCACAGGTCGGCTAGAACTATGAGGTGAGTGAAAAGCACTCACCTCATAGTTCTCCTTTAATGTCACTTTACATCGTCACCTATGGCCAATTTTGGGTATGGTAGTTTTTTTGTGATTTTTGCTGGCGTGCGCAATTTTAAGATTTGACATGTTTGGTGTCTATTTACCTGATGTTACAGTTCATGCACCCATTGCACTCCTGACCGCTCGGTATGCGACGGACGGCCACCGTCACAGTAATACAAAAGAATATGGACACCGTCACTCAAACATCAGATAGAATACGTCTATTTATTGACGGACATGCAAAAAAAGTAGCATAGTACACTCAGTGCAACGTTTCGGGGTCACATAGGATTCCCTTCATCAGGCAAAACAAGTGAAATAATAAATGTTTCATAATATAACAGAGGGGGAAACTGTTTTTATTTCCAAGATTTTCTGTATTTTTTTTATATAGTAAAAAATAAAACCCCCAGTGTTTAAATACCACCAAAAGAAAGCTCTATGTGTCCCCAAAAAATTGTATAAAATTAATTTCAGTACAGCGTTGCATGATGGAATAAATGTCAATCAAGTTACCTCAGCGCTGAATACTGAAAAATGGCCTGGACAGGAATTACAATTATTTATATAGCACCAATATATTCTGCAGCGCTGTACAATCATTTAAACAAGACAAGTAAGAAACGCTGACAAGCATCATTGACACACAGAAACAATAGGTAAGGAGGACCCTGCCCAAACAAGCTTATAGTCTAACACCCCTGACTTTAAGTGGTTAAAAGGGACCACACCAGGGCATTTCGTCTTTTTCCACGATGAAATTCATACATCATCAAACCCCATGTATTCCTATGGCGGCCATTCACACAACCGCGCTGAATCGTGTGGAAAAATATGCCTGGTGTTTGAAATAGCCCCCGGGCCTCTTTTGTGGCACTTATCAGCCCATTTTGCTCCATAGACTTCAATGTAAATGTGTTGATCAGGGTGTTTTTGCAGCTGAGACTGCTTTTCAATGGACACCTGTAAAACAAGCTGAAAACGCTATTGCTTATGAACAGAACATGCCTGTAAAATGCGCTGGAACGCGCATAAAAACCCACGCTGAAATGCTGTCACCCTGGGGTGAATGTGGTTTAAACGTTAAAAAAAACCCATCTTTGACAAATTCTTAAAGAACTCCGGATCAGTTAAGAAAAAATTAACCCTTGCAGTGGGGCTACTCCCGCATGTGCTGATTGCATATAAGTCGCCATGGGTAACTGCTAGATACTGTCTGCTCCAATTTGGATACATTCCCCTCTATAAAAAAAAAAAAAAA